CACTTTTTGGACAAGTTTTACCACCCTAACAGGGAAGCTGGGAAAGGCTGCAGAAGGTAAAAATGTGTTTTCAAAATCGCCAAGACAAACACCGCTGTTTTGAAGCACTTCAATGTTGCATTTTGCATGTCCAAAAAGAGTGAGACAGGAGAAGGGTAGACCGACGGTGGTGGGGATAAATCCTGAACACGTGACTCAAGCAAAAGTCTTCCCCCCAATTACCGAGCAAAGAAGCAGTTATGCAATCGACGTGCCTCTTGCCTTGCCAAGTGGGTCATTATTTCATTCAACTTATCCCCTACAATAAAGGAAAAATATATATATAAGCTAAAAGTTTCCAAGGTGGGTATACAAGAGGGCTGTGCAAGTGAGGGTGTCACCCAATTGCATCGTCGTATCTCATCCCACCGCACACCGAGCAATCGTGCTAAGGTCGGGCAAGCAAACGAATGCAGGCGGATCGACAGTGTCCTCAGACCAGACGCAAAACTAAGGGAGAGAGGAAATTTACTCACCTCTTAAGCTCATTCATTATGGCAATGGGACGAGGTAATGTGAGTGACTTTTGGTTTCCCAGAGGATGTACACAATTTTCATACGTTAGATTGCTGCTTAGGATTGAGGTTGTAGAGACAGCCAGCCCATCCTCATGCCCTTGAAGCACGGACTTCAAGAGGGTATTACTGGCAGTAATGTTTATTAAACACTGAATACAGGAAGAACGAGGATAGGAGTACAGATGAGCCGATTAGCTGATACCAACCGGAGAGGCGTTCCTCACGCTCCTCATCCACCGCACTCGCGTTTCCGCCTCTCCTCTGCAAGAAGGCAAACTTAAACCGAATGGTGTGATTATATTAAATGGATTGGGATAAAGTTACACAGTCTACAGCCAACTTTGAATTGTCGTTTTTTTTTTAATGTTATTTTTTGGCCTTTGCAACTGGTGGTTGTCTTGGTTGTCATGGCGTTTTTGTCTGTATGGAGTGGCCTTTGGGGATGAGTCAAAGCCTCCTCTGCATTCTACATGCGCGTATTCAACCCCACGTAAAAGCCATCCTGGGACGATGCAAGCTTGCCCAAATGTCTCGGGCAATTGCAGGGTAGTGCAAAAGCATTGAAATAATTTAAGTTGAAGATGTGTTTATTAGGTAAATAGGGCTTAATGAAGCCTTCGTCCTGATGCATTAATGAAAGCAAGCAGCCACTGCGATGAGGCGATGGTCAATCATTGTTATGGGGGATGAAGGCTTTCATCGAAGCACTCTCTTCACTACAATGTGTGTGAGCGAGGCGAAGGAGGATGGAGAGGAGAAGGAAAAGGAGGAGGAGGAGGAGGAGGAGTGAGTGAGGATAGGGTGGCAGTGGTGCAGGGTTGGCGGTAGTGGTGTAAATGCGTGATGCAATGAACAACGCGTCTGACTACACAAAATAAGAAGATTCCAGATTCCAGTTCTTGCGCACTTGCTTGGCGCATGCTAATGCTCTTTAGCCTAGTAATACTCATCCACCCCACCTTCTCCTCCATCAACATCGCGTTGCACATCTCAGTCTACTCCGCCTCAGCCTCCTCCTCCTCCTTCATCTTCTTCTTCTTCTTCTTCTCCTCCTCCTCCTCCTTCTTCTTCTTCTTCTCCTCCTCTTTCTCCTCTTCCAACACGCCCACGTCGCATTGTACCTCGCCCATCCTCAACTGCGCGTGTGGGTGCAAGTAGAAGGGTGAGCAGCTTTGCAAGAATCTGTCTATTTACCTGTCTGTATAAGCGATTGTTACTTTGACGACTACCGCGTTTGTGCTGTGTGGACTGGCCTTCGAGTGCAACGACTTCAATTGTCAAATGGTGTGGAAATATTGAACTGATGGCAGAGAAAAGCAAAATCACATCATGTTACACCTCGATACCGATTTCTACACTTCAGGGCAAAAGTAATGCACCGGAAGAATCTCTAACTTCTTCACAAGGTCTCACCTACTAAATTACATTCCTCAAATTTCACAGAAAGCTGATGGCTGACGCGGGTCTGCCTTGTGGATGTTTCCTTGCAACAGCTAAAAACATCACCATGGCTGGTGCAGGAGGTGTACTCCAGGAAGGAGGAAGCCGGAGGACAATGCAATGCTTAGTTCACTTGACAACCTATGCAGACGGTGGTCATTTTGACAGCCATCTCACTCCTGCCAAATGAACTAACCTGCCAGCCTTTTAGTCTAATTGCAAGAACATTCAGTCATGTCTACTGCCCTCTGCTGCAAAATGGGAAGTCTCGGGGTTCTGCAAACCCTTTGTGTGTCCAATTCAATACTCTACAATAGCATTACTTGTAACCTTATGGTCTTTTACTTCTCCTTTAATTTACAATTTTCTCTATCATTAAAAAATAATGTGTCGATTGTTCTAATGAGGTGGGTGAAATGACAAAAATACGAACCTCAAACAATGTAAAGACCTTCTGATGCTGTGTTATGGCCATTTTTGGCGTGTAACTGAACGCAGAAGTGAACAATTCAATTGTAGGTAGAGGAGTTTGTTGATTGTTAAAGTCTACTCGATTTTGTAGACCCCATTAAATTAGCGCGGTTTGTTTAAAATGTTCCGTTGGACTTGAGAAACTGCGCTACTTTTACAAACCGCAAAACACTTGCATGTAGTATTGTTACAGCATAAAAATTGTGTCAAAAAAATGAGCACTTGTAAGAGGCTAAACCCATGGGATGGCAATGATCCGCCGGAGACCACCTCCTTCGCAAACAACGAGGTCCATTTATGTATGGGAAGGAATTTTCTGTTTGATATGACCTACGAAAATCATATAGTGGTGTAAAAATACCCTTCTACATTTATAAAATCGGAGGAGGCACACAATTCACTTATTCCTTTCCCCTACCCGTCTCCCTCCAACCCTCCTCCATCCGTCGCCCTGACTTAGTGTTCCTCCTTAATTAATTTCTCCTTGTTGAAAGGCCTCGCGCATCGTAAGCTATGGAGTAGGCAAAGTAAAGTCTCAAATAATTTTATTTAAATCTTATGATTATAACTATGATTAACTTGCATAAAACTGGGTTAAATTGAGGTGGTGGAACAATTGGAGTCTGCCGAGGCGTCTGTGTCCACCGCCTTCAGGGCGGAAATTACGTGCGCCCCTTGATGGACGACGATTACGCTCCAACAATGACGAGTTTTACTTGAACTGTAAACCAACTCGTTGCATTTTTGGCCATTTAAGAAAGCATTTTCTAGCCTTGATTTTTTATTGTCTCATCATATCTTCATGTTACTCGCGATTTCCCATGAAGTCAAAAAAGTTCAAAGTTACATATTTAACCGATTTGGTCATAACAAGTGACACCTTTCGTGTCAACAGTGGTCGTTCTTTTTGGAAGTCCAAGCACTCTCCTCCCTTCGACGAATCAAGTGGTCTTCTCACGATCTGGCTTGGAATGTTGCGTTTTTTCAAGGGGAGACATCCCTGATCCTTGGTTAGACGCTCTAACCCACTGAAGGACATCAGCTCCCAAGATGTGAACATTTTGTGTTAAGAAGCAAATATGTCAAATAGCTAAGTTTGAAATAAAGATATCACCAGATGCAATCACTCAGTACTTTTATAAGGCTACAGGACACCAATTTTAAGTGCTTTATTTACATTTCTGCGATGCGATTGTCAAGGTTTATTAGTGCCAGCTATTGCGAATAATTTGACCTTTGGCTTAAGAATGGAAATGTTGACCGAAGGAATCATCAGAGTAGTCATTAATAATTTTTTAGTCTCCAAGTCTACTAACCTGCGTAATTTGTAGAAGAAGAAAAAGAGTGCTCGGACAGAACGTCGCAAATCAACAATCACACATGGAAGATATTTTGAGCGTTTCTTGTGCAAGCATGTCCGAGCATGAGCATTTAGCAAATCTGTCAGTCTTAGCAGCCTCGTATTGCACTTGTTTACCTTCAGTGCACTACCATCTACTTGCGATGTCTTCTTACACGCACACGAAGGCGTATGTGAAAGTGGTTTTTGATTCAACCCCACACCACTTTGATTGCATAGTGAAGAAGAATACTATCCGGACAACATGTACAATACAACTGATAGTTCAATACAAGGGGAATATGGCGTTTCAATTTCGCTCTTTCGCCGATACGTAGATGAGCAGTTAAATTTGGTCCCCGACATCACATTGTGACTTTCATCAGTTTTGCATGACTCAAGGTCAAGGGAGATCAAATGACGCTGAAAAACAAGAATGACTTGAATCATTTTGGCGTGCTGATCAGTTAGTGTACGTTTTCGTTCAGCAATTTAAATGTAGATGCAACGAAGCTAAGGCGACAACTAAAAAATTGGCCATAATGGATGCATAAGTAGCGCTACCAACGCCGTTGCCACTATAATGCCAAACAAGCAATGTCGAAATGAAAGTAAATGCTTCCAGACCCACTTTTTAAAGCTATATTTAAATTGTGATAATCAACTGATGACTTTTTACCATCTGAGATTCAGGCTTTGTGCAACATTATACGAAACATTTTAATGGTGACTAGACAACACATTATTCTAAGCATATTTTATATAGTACGATTTACCATACCACCTCTTTAATAAAAAAAAGGAGAGACTTTGTTTGTCTTTATTTTTTGTGGACTAAGGAGAGATTTGTGGAAGGTATACGATGGCAAGTCAGTTGAGTGATATCCATGAGGTGTTCACTTTTTTACACAAGATCCACCGAAGTCGCTGGCCAGAGGTATTGAGAGCGGACGTAACCGCCTAAAACTAGCCACTCACAGCTCAATATAGCGATGGGATGACTAAATTAGCTTGATGTCGGAGGTGTTGCTGAGGTGTCTACTTGACCCCAAACTACTGATGTCAGCGACGGATTACACAAATTTCTTGCCTCAATTGGTAGGCATATTGTGACTGTAATGCTTTGTTTAGCTAACTGCCTGATGTTTGGCGGTCACTTTAGAATTTGTCTGGCACCTGCTCAAGTGGGCTGGCCTTAGGGCCACGCTCAGACCCAATTTGCCCTATCGTCTTCGGAATGCATTTATTCAACCTCATTTGTGCCTTTTTCCACCCCATGGGAAGCCTCGAAATACTAAAGTGAAGATATACAAGTCACCGCTTATCGTGTACATAACCCGTTGCAACATAAAATGGCAACTCAGCCAATTTAGCTTGAAGGATACGACACGTAGTTTGGAGTCCAAACCATAAAATAGCATAATCTTGGTTTGCAAATAAAAGATATCTTTAGGACGCTTCAGTAAGCCAAAATATACTTACTTTTAGGAAAATGAGCAGAAGCTCGGTTAGCTCAAAGGCGTGGCTTAAATCCTTAAGTTACTTATAAGATCGACAATTATTTATGTTCAACTAGTTAATACAAGTGTTTATCGTGTCTACCATTTGCCAATTTTGTTCATAGCGTAAAGATGCATTCCTTCTCTACCTATAGCGACAATAACTCTGTTGGTTACAGTATACCTTCGCGATTAGTAGACCTGCAGCATGAGTGAACTATTGATAATTATTCCAATGGGGAAGGTATGGTTTCGATTTACTTCTACTCTGTCGACTGCCACTAAGGCTAGTGAATTCGGAGCAGCTGCCTTCTAGTCGATTAGAAACTAAAACTAACTCTTCGCGTCAAACAAGGCAGGAAGTAGACCACCATATCAAGAAATTTTATTGCGTGATTCTGTGCGAATTACTCCGGTGTGAGCTGCGAAGGAAACCAAGTTGTCAGCATCTAAATTAGAGCAATGCGCCTGTAGCGTCTCGAGACTTCCCACCGGATGGAAGAAGGCAGTAAGTGAGACTTGATACATGTATTCCGAAGAGAACAAAGCGAATGGACCTGAGCATGGCCTGAAGGCCAGCCCATGATTACAAGGGCCATACCAACCTAAAATGACCGCCGAACGTCAAGTAGTCACGGCATCACGGCATCTATTTACTCATTCGTCTTTTAATGAAGCGGAAACGAACTCCACTGCACACTTGAAGCTGTTACTGTGCTGTGTATAAATGTTAAAATTATTTAGTGATTGACTGAGCCTCATTCATAATTATAATGCAGAAGGTTTACCATTTATTGACTTTTGATGTTAATTAAATGAGCCAAACTTTTATTGTGGTGGTCCGTATGCATATCTGGTGTGCGCGATCTCTTTATACCAAGCGTGCTTTAAGGCTCAACTAATTAATGCATATAGATGTAAAACTTAGTTATACTTTGTGTTGCAGTGTTAGGGCGAGACTGCTCTTGGATGGGTGTACATTATTTAAGGGAAATTACAACCTCCATGCTAAAGAGGAGTCAGGTCACCTATGAACCATCCTCGATGTGCGTGACAAAGTAAAGGCACAATACTCTAAAAGCGCACATAAAAAAGTGGATCAGAAGAGCAAACATAATGAGTGCTGACGACTTATTACAAAGATAGAGGAAAGTGAATGTATGTCTTTAAAAGTTATATCGATCATTAAAAGGGAAGTTAAACAATGTTTCCTTGCATTATATTAATGGCTAAAAAGGAAATTTGAGGCTTTTGACTCATACGCTACACACTCATTTGTGGCCGAAAAAAGTCAAACTTAACAAAAAAAATAATTGTATGTAATTTAGCCTCTGAAAAATCCATACAGAATGCAAATATTAAGTTATAATGTATCTTAA